CTACAGTGTGTGTTCTCTTTGAGGAAAGGCTTTGGAAAATGTAAGGAAGTAGCTCCTCCTTTCCCGGTCATTGGATAAAACTGGGTGGCAAAGAACTGGCAAGGCAAGCTGCAACAACATGTAAGGGATCCAGGGATATAGAGAGCCAAATCCTGATACCTTCACCCCAGAGTAACCCCATTTTCATCCATTCCGTATACCAGCTGCATCAGTTAACAACAGCTTCCTAACAAACCTTCCCAGAGCTCAGTGGCTTAAAACAGCAATCTTTGACCTAGCTTGTGATTCTGTGGGTCAGCAATTTGGGCTAGGTGTAGCTGGGGGCCTTTCTGGTGTTGGCCAGTCTCAGTTGACCTTGGCAGGGGCTCACTCGTGCATCTGTGGGGGGCTTCTGGGAAGTTGGGGCTGGCTGACTGCGGGCTGGGAGGCCTGGGTTCTCCTCTACGTGACCTTTCACTCTCTCAATGGAGGAATAGCTTGGGCTCATTGGCATGGTGGCCCCAGATTCCAGGTGTGGTAAGAGAGGTAATAAGCCCCAATTCACAGGCACGTTTCAAGTCCATCCTTGTGTTATGTTTGCTACTATTGCAAAGTAGTCAGACAGCTAAACCTAGATTCGAGGGGGCGGGAACGGGCTCCCCGTCATGAATGGTAGAGCAGCAGAGTCCATTCAGTGTGCGTACGGGGATGCGAAGAAGTCGTGCACATTTAAATGCAGATTCTCAGATGCCCGCTCAGACCTATTGGAGCAAATCGATGGGAGAGAGGGTTCTTTGTAAGTCCCTCAGGTGATTCCTCCTTCATATTTTTACATATGTTATTTGATACTTATGAAATATTACATGCGATATATACGTGTGATATATACCTTTTACAAAATAAAGCCCAATAATACATTCAAGAACCTACCACTCAGCCCAAAAGCTAGATCATTAACATAATTTATTTGTATTTATATTTACCTATGTGCTTTTCTCTTATGCCTTCCTCCCGCCTCTCCACGACAGCTAACATTTTACACACTGTGTTTCCTATTCTGTTAGAAAATTAAAAAATATGGGCCGGCCCGCGGCTCACTCGGGAGAGTGCGGTGCTGATAACACCAAGGCCCAGGGTTCGGATCCCACTTAGGGATGGCCGGTTTGCTCACTGGGTGAGCGTGGTGCTGACAACACCAAGTCAAGGGTTAAGCTCCCCTTACCGGTCATCTTTAAAAAATAAAATAAAAAAAAATAAAAAATATAGTTTTTGTTTCATTGGTATCTATACCTATACAATATATTGCTGAGTTTTGCTTGCTTTTTTTCCCCTCCAATAAGTTTATTTATTTCTTGAATTTTTTATTGTGATAAAATATCTACATTAAAAATTCTGATTTTAACCATTCTTAAGTGTACAATTCAGCAGAATTAATTACATTAACAATGTTGTGCAACCATCACCACTGTTTCCAAAACTTTTTCATCACTCCAAACAGGAACTCTGTACCCATTAAGCAATAACTTCTCATTCCTCCTCCCCCTCAGCCCCTGGTAACCTCTAATCCACTTTCTGTCTCTGTGAATTTACCCATACTAGATATTTCATAGAAGTGGAATCCTATAATATTCGTCCTTTTGTGTCTGGCTTCTTCCACATAATATGTTCTCAAGGTTTATTCATGTCGTAGCATTGACATGAATAATATTAACTGCATTCCTTTTTATAGATGCATAGTACTGTATTGCATTGGATGTAATATCACATTTTGTTTATCCATTTATCTGTTGATGGACACTTAGGTTGTTTCCACCTTTTGGCTATTGTGAATATGCTGCAATGAACATTAGTGTATTGGGCTAATATAAATAGTGCCACTATGAATATTCCTATACAAATCGCTATTTGAGTCCCTGATTTCAGTTCTTTTGGGTGTATATATATATATATATATATATACCTAGAAGTGGAATTGCTGGGTCATATGGCAATTCTCTGCTTAGCTTTTTGAGGAACCATCAAACTGTTTTCCACAGAGTGTGCTATTTGACATTCCCAATTTTTCTCTATCCTTGTCAACACTTGCTATGTTGTTGTTTTTTTTAAATTATAGCCATCCTAGTAGTCATGAAGTGGTGTCTCGTGGTTTCGATTTGCATCTCCCTAATGACATTTCCCCAAAATGTTGAGCATCTTTTTATGTGCTTTTTGGCCATTCATATATCTTCTTTGCAGAAGTGTCTATTCAAGTCTTCTGCTCATGTTTTAATTGGGTTGTCTTTTTGTTGTTGTTGTAAGAGTTCCTTATATATTCTGGATATTAAACCTTTATCAGATATATGATTTGCTTATATTTCCCCCTTTTCTGTAGACTGTCTTTTCACTTTCTTTATATTGTCCTTTGATGTGCAAAAGTTAATTTTATTTTATTTTATTTTTTTTACCGTTCAAGCTTTATTAAAAGATATAACAACCACAATTACTTGAAGTTGATACGACAAGCAAACAGAAAGGACATTGTTGGGTGGGAGGGAGGAAAGGGAGGAGGGAGGGAGGTTTTGGTAAGGGGCAACAATAATCAACCACAATGTATATCGACAAAATAAAATTAAAAAAAAAAAAGAAAGAAAGAAAATCTGCCGGGCTGTGCTCACAGTAGCAGGCAGCCCAGGGCTACCCTGGAAATGGTGGGCAGCCACAAAAGTTAATTTTTTTTTTTTTTTTTTTTTCTTTTTTCCATGTCCGGCAACGGATCGCAACCCTCAGTGCTGCCCCCGCACCGGACCGGGGACCGGCAACGGGATCGCAAGCCTCGGTGTTGCTCCCGCACCTCGCTCAGCCAGTG